ATAAATTTATTTAAAAAACTCAATTAAATACTTAAAATAATAAGAAAATATTAGAATGGATTTCTTATGATAAACTTAAAAATATTGAATATATTGATAAAGAAGGATTTAGTACTATATATAAAGTTATTTGTATAATAGATTTATTGAATATTATGCTTATAATGAGCATAAATAGATATATAAGATATATATTTATTTAATCAATATATAAACAATTTGTTTTAAACTAATTTTTATTAATTTATAGTAGGAATATCATTATAATGATAATAATTTATTAATTAATATTTATGGATTTACTAAAGATCCAAATACTTTAGAATAAATTATATTAATAAAATATGCAAATAAGGGTAGATTAAGAAAAAATTTATTAGAAATAATTAAATTTGATTGGAAAACTAAATTATTATTATTATTGAATATTATTGAAAGACATAATTTAAAATTAATTTATTGTAATTTTCATGATGAAAATATTTTATATAATAATTTATTTATTTATATTAGTGATTTGGAATTATGTAAACCTATAAATTATTTGCAATCATTAAAAAAAGTAATATTTATAATGTTTTACCATTTATTGCATCTAAAGTTTTAAGAGGTCAACCCTATACACCAGCCAGTGATATTTATAGTTTTTTTATAATTATATGAAAATTAATATCTAGAGTTTTTTAATTTGAAAATAGAGCACATAATGAATAACTTGTTTTAAATATTTATAAAAGTGAATGTCCTGAAATAATTAGAAATACTTCACAAATTTATATAAATTTAATGAAAGAATATTGGAATAAAGATCCATTAAATAAACCAACTACATTTGAAAGTAAAATTACTTTTTTTAACTGGATTAATTATTACAATTTTAAAGAATTTAATATAATATATATAGTATTAAAATAAAAATAAACTAATATTATACCTTTTATTGAATTTTATTTATGTGTATATTTTACAAATCAATTTTTTGATTTAACTAAATTAATGAAATATTAAATGAGAAAAGAAAAGAGATTTTTGATTACAAAATGATCAAAATAATGAATCATATAAAATAGAAATTAGTTAAACTATTGGTAATTAAAATAGATTTATAATATTTATTGTTATTAATTAAGAGAAATTTCTAAATTACTTTAAATTTTTACATATGTAGAAATTTCAAATTTTATAGATAATAATATTAGTAAGTAAATATTTTGATATAATATTTTTTATATTCTTTAATTAATATACTAATAATTATTAAATATATAAATCTTTAAAAGATTATTAGTTAATTATTAAATTTATTAACTTATTAATTATTCATACTAAATTTATTTTTATTTTATTTTATTTTTAGTTTTAAAGAATAAAAGTTCAAAAGTTAGATTTATTTAATTTTATTAATTGTCAATTATTATAATATAAAATATATATTTATTTGTCATAAAGAAAAATAATTTCTACTTTTGTCATATTAAGATTAAAAATTTAGACTATCAGTATATAAATGAATAATATTAAGAATAATTATAATTATATAAAAAGATAGTTCTCTAATTATTATAATTATTCATTTGAGTTTACAATATGTTATTAACATTATTTATTAAATTAGTTAACTATGATTTGAAATCAGAGAAATAATAGCTGTAACTTAAATTCAATCAATTTGATATGATGTCAATTAGAAAGTTCTTTTGATTAATAAGAATAAAAGTTATATGTATATATTTACAAAATATTATTATTATTTATTATTATTATTGAATATATATTAAATTTAATGTTAAAAATTTATTTTTTTTAAAGGCATTTTCATGTTCTTTATATAAGTAAATACAATTAAAAAAAATCACTGACAATAGTTATATCACTAGTCGAAATAAGAAATTTCAGTCACGTGACTTTTGGTAAAGTTAATGTCTATTCAGGATAAATTTCAGTTAAAATTCAGTATATCCTAAATTTTGACTCAATTTCAAACTCACGTAATTTCTGAAATTTTTTTTGAACTGTATAAAAAATTCTGAAAGTTATAAATGCTAATAAATAGTTTTATTATAAAAGTTATTTGTTTTAAATACTGTTTATTATTTTTAACGAATGTTAAATTTTCTATTTATTGGATTTACAGCTAAATATTCCTTTGCATTTTTTCTGTCTGAAATTTTGTACTTTATTAGTACAAATCGTCCTAAAATGTGATAAACCAGAATTATGCAATCTCGTCTTTTAGAAGAAAATTCAATATCCCAAAGTTTAACATTGCAAATTTCATTACTATTAATACTAAAATAATACCGATAACTTACAGGTCTATACTACCGTACGAATGTTAAATTATGAACTAATTTACCTTTACTATTTTCTAGGTCAATTTTATGAGAAAAAAGAATTGTACCTATTCAGGATAAGTATCAATAGTGCCATCATGTTTGATAAATTTTGATAAGATAAATAAACACTTTATATGATGGAATGACATTGTTGAACTAAATATTTCAGAGCTAATTCTGCATCTTCTAAAACTGCTCATTTTAACAGGAATTACTATTGAATCTTCATGACCCTTTTTAAATGGCTTTCAAAATTCCAATGTTTTGTAAGTCCCTATATAATATTCAACTAATAAATCAAGCATTGAACTTGAAATTATTAAATCTTCAGAAACAGGTTTCATCATTTTGCCTGGAAATAGTTCATATCCAGTAATTAGTGATTGTTGAATATTTTGTGAATATAACCGAAATCGTTCTATTTTACCTGAAAAAAATTTGTCAGTTTCTGATAAAGAACTAACCAAAGGTTGCTTATCAAGCAATTCTGAGCCTTTTATTTTTGAACTGAAACTTATAGTATTAATGTGATTATCAAGCAATAATCTGCGTATAAGCTCCAGTTCAATATTTCTATGACTATTTAGTAAGCTGCCTAAAATTAATCAAAAAGTTACTGAGTTTTGGTATTAAATTTTTCCACACGCCCAATATTTATAATAAAAAAAAGAAAATTTACCAAAATACTATTTATATATTTAAAGGAAAAGCATCAGAATGTATATAAAGGTCTATAATCAAAAGTGCATTCTCTCAAGTGAAGTGAAAGATGAAGGTTTGACATGATTTTATCTCGCTCATGTGTATCTTCTATTAGCTTCACAATTTCAATCAATCTTTGATATACATCTCTAACTGAATCTATTTCTAAAATACAATTTGTTAAAAATGTACAAATTCTTACAAAATGATGAAGTATTTTCTGATTTTGGTTTGAAAGATGCTTCTAAAGAGTACAGTCACATATATTATAAAAAATATTCTTCATTGATCTGCAGTAAAATTTGAAAATCCTTCATTGCAATCTATTTTTTTTGGAATGCAACCTATATCAAATAGTACTTGAAAATTGTTCATTATTTTTTGAATATTTTTTAAAATAGTTAGTGTCAAAATATTCCCATTGATCTAAATTTTTTTCACTATCAATTTTGCAATGTCTAAAAATAAGCAATGCATCGGATCAACAGTTAATGACTGAATGGAATCAAAATATGGTAAACATAGCAATTTCGACTATCTAGCTCTAGTAGTTTTAACAAATTACTTTTTTGAAGATTCAGAATTGCAACGTTACCAATCAAGTGTATTTTCACGATATTCTGTCAAATCTCTAGCAACAAACCATTTGTTTATATTACTTATTCCTACAAAGTTATTTTGCTTATTTTATAATTGGCATGCTTTCTGCACCGGTGATATGAAGTAAGTGATGAAATATAGCTGCAAATTTTTCTAGCGGCTAGGATGTCACATGTAACCAAGATTAATGCTGCCTGAATTTTCTTTCCATTCTGATATTCGTATGTACTAGTGAAAGTCATACCATTCTAAAGTGACTTCAATTCGTCAACAATTAGAGCCAAATAATGATTAATTTTATGTAAACTAACCTCATTTTGTCCTGGTAAGATACCAAAAATTAATATATTTTTACGCTTAAAATGCATGTCTCTTGGTAAATTATATATAATAGTATATATTACACTGATGCTGTAAATCGAACCTTCATAAAGCTGAACTAGTCAAGGTTCAACATTAATCTAAGGTTCAAATTAGCAACTTCTAGTTGAAAGAAGTTAGGCAAACCTTCTTCATTTGTATCTTTGAAGGTTTGCTAAACTTGGCTATCGTAAATGTTAGTTAATATATTTTAAAATTGTTGACGATTAGACCAATGGCGTAAAAATTTTTCAAAATTTAGACGATTATACATAGATAATAATTATTGTTAAATGCTAGCAAACAGATAAGTTAAAATAGGTGTAATTGAAATCCAATCATCTAATAATTTTATTCGATGTGATAAAGGTGCTTGACATTATCGTGCTTTACATTTTATCAAATTTGGATACTTCACATGACTGCATTTCATTATAGTGAGTGTTCTATTTTGATAGAAGTCTGTTATTTCTTTCTTTTTATATAGTTTATGACATTTCAGATATGACACAAAGCTATAAAATTCATCATCTCTAAATCTAAGAACATTTTTTGTAAGATATAAAAAATCAGAAAAATTTTAAAATTCAGCACCATTAATTTCTGTTAATACTAGTTTTATGAATTTAATTAGTGCTTCTGTTGCCATTTTCAGAAGGTTGAACCTTGTTCGAAACTCATTATCTATAATAATATTCATAGAAATTGCAAATTATCGATCTTTATTGAAGATATTATTTTTTTATCTTGAAGTGGTTCAAAATCAAGACACGAATAATTTTCAAAAATTTTGGCAATTGAATTAATATCTTCATCTGAAGAAGTATCATCATTTTGATCTGTTTCTTCTGTTATCAAGTTCACTTGTCTAATATTACCAATGGAAACTTTAGCTGAAAGATTTGTTTGTCTTAGCGTTCGTCTTTGTGGTAATAAGTTATATGAATACTTTTAGACATTATTATCTTCTTGCTCATTTAAAGTAGTAGATTTATATAATAATTATTCGTTTAAAGCAGTAGATTTATATAATTCATCATTGATATTTATTCGAACTTTAGGATTTCTAAAAATGTCAGCGGATGATTCATCTTGCAAATAAATCTCTGATAGAGACGATAATGAGTTATCTGCTGAAACATTTGCTGAATATAAATTATTCAGTTTGCCTAACAGTTCATGTCGTGTTCTTGTGCAGTGATCAACTAAAGATTTGCAATTACTATAAAAATAGGGTACTTTAGGATTTTTTCTTGGTTGAACAATTGATTGAATGGATCGAGCTTCAGAACTAGTTTTGGTAATTTCATTAAATATACTAGCTATCGTTCTTTTTTGTCCCATTTTGCTAATATTCAATAATTTGTAATGAGAGTTTTGATCAATTTTTCTTTGAATTCGATTCAAAATTCGTCTTATAAATTATTAATTTATTAATCTAAGTATGTCATTATATTATTTATTAAACTAAAATCAATAAAAAAAATAATGTATTGTTCATTGAACTAGAGTTAAAATAGTATTAGACTATTCTTATCAAATGTTGAATGACTAATTAAACTAAAATTAATAAAGAAAAATAAAGTAAAATAATGAATTATTCATTGAACTAGAAACAAATTTCATAAATTAAATAAATCATTTAATATAATTATCAAACTTCAGAATATACTTTCTGATACTTCATTAGTAAGTAAAATTAAACTATAAAAATAAATCTCTTCTGCAAAGTAGTTTCTGAAAAGTTTGTCACGTATTTTTTGGATTTTTATTCAAATTTAATATTTTAATAAGAGTATTCAATTTATCTAAATTTAATAATATTTTAATAAGAGTAATAACTTTTTTTCGAATATAAAATAATTTACATTTTGATTAGAGATACGTTGCAAAAAGAAAAAAGTAAAGGTGAAAAAGATTATTACTATCTTGTAATTCCTAGTGATGTAGAGGAAGAAGAATATAAAACTAAACCAAAATCATCAATTAAATCATCACGAACTATAATGTCTTTAAAATCTACCCTTTTGAGACAACCTATACTATCATCACGAATAACAATAGCCCTTTTTCTTCACAATCTACACCATCATCACAAATAACAATGACTTCTTCTCCTTCACAATATCCTACACCATCATCACAAACAATAACAACTTCTTCTCCTTTGCAATCTACATCATCATCACGAACATCTTCTATTCTATCTCAACTTAATATAAATCATGATATTTTGATGTCAATTTCAAATCTTCATCTGCCTAGAACTATTCTATATCAAAACTAGGCTGAATCTCACGTTGAGAAACCATCAGATAGCAGTGGTGATTTTAAATGATTTAATTATTAATTCTTAATTATTTACTTATTATTTACTTCTAATTCATAATGCTTTATATTTTATTATCAATAGAAATTGTAATATTAAAAACTGATAATAAAGAATTACGCCGAAAATTGTTCAGAATCACCAAAGAGTTATAAGACTTAAAAGAACTCAATCAAACTTTAATGATGGTCAATAAGGAATTTGGTCAAGAAAATGATGAATTTCAGAAAAAAATCGATCAGTATGAAAATTATGAAAAAATTTGAAAGCCAAAAAGAAAGAAAAGGCAAACATATAGACGTAAATGTAAACATTCTAGGTCTGAGACTGATTATGAAAGTAGTTCAAATGAAAGTAATTCAAATGATAATGATATCAACAATAACACACGTGACATAAACAAAAAAAGTGCAAGGGTCTGTATAACTTTTAAATGATTATTAGTTAATTAATATTTATTGAATTTTCATATTATAATTTAGATGAAAATGAAAGCAATTTTGAAGACCATTCCTTCCGAACTCAACTTGAAATATGATGAAACATTTTTAAGTCAAACAAATGTAGAAATAAGAAGAGGCTTAATTTCAGAATTTATTAAGTCTTTAAAATCGAATTTTCATCCTTCGCATGATTAGCTAACAAAATGGCTTAGATCATTTCATAAGTCTAAGCGCAGTAGAAATAATTATAGAAAAAAAGGAAGAATCGACAGTGATGACCAGTGTTTACATGCTAATGGATAACGAGAAGATGTACAAAATTTGGTATTTGGTTGATCTTTTAATAATTATGTAGTATTAACGAATTCTATTATGATTATTAGAAAAAAATTCATCGCATAAAAGGTGCAAGAGCCTTTTTTATGACAAAAAATCCTGAATTAACCAAATATGATCATGAAGAATTACTTGGAATTTTAAAAGACAGAAGGTATCATTCGCCTGAGTTGAGTGAAACTGACGAGAAAAATCTATCAGGCAAACGTCTCGTGTGTGTTTATGATTGCTCTTGAAGGTCTAAGAAGGTTTGATACTGATTTATGATTTCGTCTTATAGTGTTTTATAATAAACTTATTTGTATATTTTTAGTTTTACTTATTTGTATTTTTTTTTAGTTTAAGAATCTATTAAGAAATGTTTTAGATCTCATGCATTAACCTTACAGACTGCACAGCTAACAAGACCTAGGATTTATAATGACGTATATCAGCATTTTGACCTTTCTATTCTAAGAAATGCTTCAAGTTGGATATACAAAGATCAAGCCAGTAATATTGTGTATGATACTGATATAGGAGAAATGACTGATACAGGAGATATAAATGAAACTGATACGTATGAAGATCAAAATACGCAGCATATCATATATAGCATAGAAAAAGAATATCAGCGAGTCTTCTACTATGGAAATGATTTGTAGTGCTTTGATGAAAGATAAGGGCAAAGAGAAAGTGGATAATTATTATAAATTTCAATATGATTTAATGTTTAATTATTCATTTATTTACTATGTTATTTAATTATAGTATAAGATAAATGATTATTTTATTTGTATTATATTTTTAAACTATATTTTTTAGATTATATTTTTTAGATTGTTGAGATTTTATTATTTGTTGGTAGGCTTTTTATGCATTTATGTGTTATTAAAATTTTAAAATTAATAAAATAGTATTTTTTACTAATTTATAATTTTATAAATTTAATAAATATAATAAGAGTTTATTACAAATTTTGGATTAAAAAAGTAATCGAATGCTAGCTGAAAATCAGTATTTTGATATAATGAAGGTTAGTCAAAATTTATCTGAAAGTTATTGATAAAGTTTATCAAAATTTAATCAAAATTTGATCAAGTAGCAGTGTGATCTCTAACATACACGATGTGACGGGTAAAAAATTTTAGATAGATTTAATTGGTAGAATATGAAGTCAATTTTATTGCCACATAGATCTTCTATGAAGATCATTTTGTCCATTTTATTGCCATCGATCAATTATGTAAATCCTTAAATGTCAATTTTATTACCTTTGATAATCATGTAGATCAAGATGTCCATTTAGTTGCCTGCAGATCTGGCAATTTTATTGACACAGCAACTTTA